AATTAAGCAACTCTGGGCATTTTAGAACTTCCTAAAGTATATTCTTTAGAACCTCTATTTTGAACTATTACCTCAAAAAAGGGGCTCCATGGTCAAATTCATTTGGGGAATGCTACACTTATATCCTCCCCCCAAGGAGAGTTCATGCATTTTAAAGGCTCTGATTCACTAGCTTAATAAGTTTATCCATAAAAAAAAAAAATCTTTAACATATATTTTCCACATATCTTTAACCACATCTCTCAGAAGATGGTGGAACACAGGTCTCCTTTTTAAATTATCTCACAGGTACCGAAGGGTTGTACTTTACGTTTATTCTGTACACACTAAGCTTGCATGATTGCGCTACAGTCCTTACCAAGCACGTAACTTCTGACTGGGTATTCAATGCTCTACACCGAGAACTTTGAACAAATCCTTCAACACCCTGCAAAAGCTTCTAACATTTCAAGCTAATCTCCATACTTTTTTCTACAACTTAATATATTTTATAGCCCAAGCCAAGTAGCCAAACATTCTAAATAGACCAGGCTCCGAGATGACTTTAAAGGGGGAAACCTACCAAGCTCTCCAAATAGAGGGCTGGAGCAGCTTCTCCTGGAGGACAGAAATGCTTCCATTCTGTACGTAACAGGGTAATAGCTGATGAGCACATGGGGAAGGCCGCACATGGGGAAGGCCAGAGATTAAGTTCAAAGACACAGCATGCATCCTAACAGGAAATAACAGGCCACATACAAAAACATCCATCCCTTTAAGTTATAATGTCCCAATGATTTCTTAGAATTCATGGATTTATGACAAGATTTCTCAGTCTTAGACAACTGATGTTTGGGGCTGGATTATCCTTTTGTGGGGTGGCTGTGATTTGCATTTTAAGAGGTTTAGCAGCATCCCTGACTTCCACCCACTAGAGGCCAGTAGCATCCCCTTTCCCCCAGTTGTGACAATCAAAAAGGTCTCTAGACACTGCCAAATGTCTCCTCGGGTGTGAGGTGGGGATACAAAAGTCTCCTCACTCTGGTTAAAAACCACAGTTCTACAGAAAATTTTGCTGGAGGTTACAAACCATTATTTCTGTTCCTGAAAACACAAAAAAAGAAAAAGAAAAAGAAAAGAAAAAGAAAAAGAAAACCTCTTCTTTGAGCTGAGTTTCATATAGGATTTATAAATATTACACTTTGAAAAAAATCTCAAGTTAAAAAAAAAAAGGAAGAAATTCCAATTGAGGGACATTCTACAGAGTATGTAACCAGTACTCCTCAAAACTGTCAAGGTCATCAAAAACAGGGATACTCTGAGACACTATCACAGCCGAGAGGAGCCCAGGGAGATATGACAACTAAATCTAGCATGCTATCCTAGATGGGATCCTAGAGTAGGAAAGGACACTAGGTTAAAAACTAAGGAATTCTGAATTAAGTAGAGACCTTAGTTAATATTATACATATTCACGCTGTACCAATATTGGTTCGTTCATTGTGACAAATGTACCATAGTCATGCAAAAGTTAATCATAAGGGAAACTGCTTATAAAGTTTAGAGAAACATGTAATTTTTCTGTAAATCTAAAAATAAAGTTCACAGAAATAAGTGTATTGAAAATGTTTTAATTAAAGTGGAGAAAAAAGGATGGGTAAAAGAGAAAGGGTAAAACAGAGTAAAAATTACGTACTCCCAGAGCATCTTTCATTCTGGGAGTCCCTGCGAAGGGAAGATACCTGAACAGACTGTCTGGATTACAGCAAGAGATCAAATGGCCAGAAAGAAATCATCAGGAAGTGAGAAAACAAAATTTTTTAGTCTTACTGTAACTGAAACAAACAACAACAAAAACGTTTTTGTGTGAATATCAGTATTTATTCTGACCTCTCATTCCTACAGACACAGTTCAAGCGTCAGCCTTGGCAAAAGAAAGTTTCCTGCAACCAGGAGCAGTGATCTGCTCTGGTCTCAGAGCCCCTGGGGCCGTTCTTTATCTCCCCAAGCTGGACTGTCACTTATGTTTACCAGTCTCTTTATCCATACAACACAGGTCCCATGCTTGGCTCAGCTACTGTGTGTGGGCCTCTCGCTCTCAGACTTGTCCAGCTGTGAACCAACAGCCCTTAAGCCCACTGCTAGGTGTTTAATAAATGCTTGGAAAGCAGGCTGGGCGCATATACTCATACAGACTTCAGCTAAAGGGGGTAGGGATGGCACAGCCCCAAACAGGGCAAAGAAGGAAAAGTCAGATTCAAGTCCCTGTGTTTGCAGGGGTGAGAGAGGGACCATATGCTGGGGTGTGAAGATGGGATGGGGCCCATGAATACCTGATTCACAGACCTGTAACACTGGAAAGAATTCACACATTAGTTGTCCAGCGGCCTCACTCTACAAAGGGAGAAACCAAAGCTTGAGAACTCAGGAGGCTTGTTCAAGGCCACCCAGCCAGTTATTGTGCTGCCCTGGGTGAAGGAGACCTAGACTCTAAGCTAACTGACCCACCTCCACCCCTTACTAAGTGTGTCTAGGAGTGAAAGAGTTACTTAATAATTAATAACAACAGCTGCTATCTACTGAAGATCTGCGGGGTGCCATGCCACACTAAAAATCCTCATATTATCCCCAGATTACAGTCAGAAAACAAGCCAGAGAGGAAAACAACTTGCCGCCAAGGTCACAGAGCTAATAAATCTCAAAATCTCCCTCCAGCTGTCATACTCCAAAATCCCCCTGGGATTATCACACCCCGAGCCCAGACTCTGGCCTGATGTGGATCCTTCCCTCCCAACGCTTCAGCTGTCTGTCACAGGCACTGCTTTAAACACCTTTCATGGATGGACTCCTTCCTCGCCACAACCCTATGATGTTGGTACTACCAGCATCCCATTTTACAGATGAGAAAACTGAGGCTTCATGGCGTTCGCCAGAGTCTCACAGGCTGCAAGCGGCAAACCTCATCCACAAAATAAGGATGGCATAAACTTTGCCTGTAGTTTCTCATAAAACTAAACATACAATTACCATCCAACCAAGTAATGGCATGGCATTTAGAGAAATGAAAACATATGTTCACTCAAAAATCTGTACACAAATGTTTATGGCAGCTTTATTATGATGGTCAAAAACTGGGAGCAACCCAGATATCCTTCAACAAGGGAACTGGTTAAACAAGGTGAAACTGTGGGACATCAATACCACAGAATGCTACTCAGCAACAGAGATAATACACACAATTTGAGTGAATCTCCAGGGAATTACGTTCAGTGAAAAAAGCCAATTCCAAAAGGTTACATACTGTATGATTCCGACTGCGTAACATTTTTGAAACCACAAAATGTTAGAAATGGAGAACCCATAATGCCCCAGGGATTAGAGAGAGCAAAAGGAGGGAGGGGGTTATGAAGACAATATGAGATGAAGGATCCTCTTAGTGAAGGGTCTGTATCTTGACTGTTGTGCTGGATACAGGAAAAAACTATAGAACTAAATATACACATATAAGTAAAACTAGAGGACTCTGAATAAGAGCTGCGAAATGTATCAACATTAATATACTGGTTGTGATTCTGTGCTACTGTTTTTGCAAAATGTTACTACTAGGAGAAACTGGGTAAACGATATGCCAGATCTCCCTGTATTTTTACAAGCCCATGCAAATATACAATTATCTCAATGAAAAAATTCAGTTAAAAAAAGTCTTGCCTGCCCCAAAGCTGGGCTAGATGATCTATATTTCTTTCACCGAAGACCTACAATTCCCAATGTCTCCAAAGCCAGTCTTCTTTCCACCATACCACACAACCATTTGAAAAACCAAAGCAAAATTAACTCTGAACAAAGGAAAACTAAGAAAAATAAGCCCTTCCTCATAGCATTCTGCATTGCTAGCCACTCTGAATGCCCTCAGAAAATAATCCCAATTGCCTTCTTTCATTAAACTGACTTCTGGCCAAAAGATGGAAAATGTGATCCTACAAAATGTTCTCTCCCACCAAATAGTTTCTCCCTATCTTTATGGGCCACCTCCACTACCATCAACCAATAAAAAAAAAATCAATTTAAAATTTTCGACTCTAAATCTTACATGGAAGCAGCAGCACCAATGGCCCTTTACACCAGTTCTCAAATGGTCAGCGGCTTCTGGAAGGCAGGGGAGCGCAGGAAATAAGAGCGCAGTGGCTTAGGGGGCTAAAACAGATCCGAGTAAAGGTGTGACCCTGGCCAGGTTCCTTAAACTTGAATCTCACCTTTCCCATCTATAGGAAGGGGATGTGGCACCTCCCTGGTAGGTATGGGATGAATTCATGGAGACAGTCTATGTGCCTGGCACTGATATTTACTCGGTCCTCTTTCCGTCTCTCCCTATTCCCCTAACAACCAAGCTAATTTTATATACACCTGGACACAAAGTAGTCACTCCCTGGAATCCCCTCCTCACTGAGGCTGGCAGACAGCCCAGGACAGTCCCAGTCTGGACCCCCTCCTATTTCAAGCACAGCAAATCCTACTCTAAAACAAAGAAAATAGATTAGCCGCCGGACACTGCCACCTGCCCAGCAACCCCGCTCCAGAGTAATCCGCCGCCTGCCGGATTCCGACTGCTACTATTATTACTGTTAATAAAAACACCTAACGGTGCGTGGGGGTGACCGTCTCCCGAGCAACATAGGTAGAATCTCGGGAACAACACCAAGCGCTTTGGATGCAGATTTCTGGTTAAAAAAAAAGTCCCAAGAATTTATAAAACAGCTTTCCCAGCAGGAGAAAGGCAAGAGTTGTAAAGTTTCTGGAGGCGCATTTTTCCGCGTTTCCCCGAATCGCACTGCAGAGGCGATGCTGCCCGTGGATACGGCTGGGGGCGACCGCGGGTCAGAATTGGGGTCCCTTAGAGGTCAGCAGCTGGACCCGCGCGGGTCCGAGAGGCTGACCGCGTGGGAGGGTACCTGGCGCCCCAGACAGGCGGGAAGGGCCCCTCCCCAGGTACGAGGAATTTGGGGGAGTGCCGCCGCACTCACCGTCCGTGCTCCGCTTCGCCTCCCGGTAGCGCTCCCACAGGTAGCGCTTCATGCTCGGGGCGGTCCCAGGTGCTGTGCACAAGGGTCGAGCGGGGCCCGCGCCCGGCCGCCCCCGGGCTGCAGTCCCGCAACCGCCCCGCAGAGCCGCTGCTGCCGCCCATGCGCAGGCCCCACGGGTCACCACCACCGCCGCCGTGGCCATGCTTTCCGCCGCCAGCTGCGAGTGGCGC